AACGGTTATAAACTTTTTGTGACAACTGGAAGGAAATAATACATTGTGAATAAAATAGTGTGTCATGAGCAGAATGCATCTAAAAAGCAAAACATGAGTTTTATGTGTCATTAAACTAGTTCGAAATCACTGTAATTTACAGTGCTAATTATTATTTATTATATTTTAGCTAACCATAAAATATTTAGTAAATAAAAAGCTATAATTTTTTTCTCTCCTCTTAACCCTTTAAAGAAGTCATTTAAATAGCTCAATATAAAGTAATAATAAAATTGTGTAACTAAAACGTGCCAGTGTATTAAATATGTTGTTTATGAATCATATGTAAACGAAATTGCACAGTCAAAATTAGCGTTAAAGTTCTACAAAAACAAACTGGTTTGCTTTCAGTTCGTATTGTATACGAAGTGAAAATTATATTTTACTGTTACTCGAGGCTTTGTAAAAGGAGTAATGAATAAAAAATGTGCGCTACCCCCACCGACCGACCGTTGGTATGCTCTATGGAATAAAGGGTAGCTTGTCATCATTATTGTACACGAGCACATACACATCCGAGTAAACGGCCATCACGCCCATTTGCATAGACATAATACATACACGGNTAAACGGCCATCACGCCCATTTGCATAGACATAATACATACACGGCAAACTATACAGGTATTGTGCGTGTGTTTAGTAGCTTACACGGTAAAACATTGACTCCGGCAAATCGGGTCATCCGATCCGTCTCAATCGTTTGAGTTATGCACATTTGTCCGCCCCGCGTGGTGTCCCTCGTTCCGTCGCCCGTCCCGTTGATTGATCGCCACGCTTTTATCGGTTGACATCAACGGTAACAGTTCTATTACTTCATTGTGTACTCCGGTGCATTGCACGTAACGTTTTTGGATTTAAAGTGAATTAACGGTTACTTTCAATTTGCCAATCGTTTTTTCTAACGGCGGAACGCAAAAAAATAGCGCCTCGGCAAATCGTTAACGGGTCGTAAAGGGTTAACGATTGGGACGCACTGTACTGAAACACTACATGTCCTGCTATTACTGTTGTCGGCGTTAATTTGTTTTACTGACTTTTGCGTGACCACCCTAATGGTCCACTGTTGGGTACGTCAGAGTTTCAAAGTTTTTGAGTTAATACCCTTTTGCATACTTGGCAATCGCCAACGGCTGTATTATCAACTGCAACGTTATCTTGAAGTACTCTATATACATTTTATTAAATACTCTGCGAGTTATAATTGCGTTTACAGTGGTTATTTGTTTGATTATAAAAATGAACGGTGTCTTTTTAAAACAAATATAACGTGGTTACACTAAAAACGTTGAAACCTAACTAACACGAACTTTTTATGATTTTTAATAATTTTCTCAAAAATAAAAAAATACATTATTTAAACTCGCAAACCTAAAAATATTGTCGTCTAGAATTGTTTAGGATTCGATACACCCGATAATAGCATCTGCACCATTCTTGTGTCATTGATGCGAGGGGCTCTTTAACAGTATGTACAGCCCAATACAATGCCACTCGATATTATGATGGACACAATTATTAATTAAGAATACGATGTCAATCGTCAGACGGGGCGTTATGAATTGCATATTTTTAGGAATAACTATACTCGCACAAGGCTCGACATCATTATTTAACAGTTGTGCAGCAAAGGGTCGGAAGTCGGCACAAATCGTCCGTTTAAGCAGCGGCCAGGGATTTGGGGATACCGTCTGTCAAGTTTGAAAAGATGGAACGGTCCCTTGGGAAACGTTGCCAGAGATTTTTTCTACTACTTTATTTTTCTCTTCATTTCTTCTATACTTCGGATGTAATTCAAAAATAGAAGCTCTTCAGAGATATGAAAAACTTGCAAACCATCGATATCAAATAAGAGATTGGAGTTTACTCAAAATCTAAAAACTTTTAAATTACCTACACTTTTTTTTATCATTTTTCATAAAACAAAACTAACAATAAATATTTCAAGTTCTACAATAAATCAAAAGGTTTCTTTTCTATTATAATAGCTTATTATACACAAATTAAAATAATAATATACTTCATTATTTATTAATACACTTCTTACAAATAGTTTGTATTGTATTATTTCTTATAGAACTTACTTATAGCAATGGTATTCTCAAAATTTGTGTAAAGGTTTTATGGATTTAACTGAAGAATAATTTAATTAGAGATAATAAAAATTATTCTACTAAGAAAATTTTAATTTAATTTCAAAAACTTTGTAATTTCATATTTTATTACTTGTACATTACAAGGACAACCGTAGAAAATTGTCATGGGCAGATAAAGAAATTTTTTTAAAAATTTGATTTCACTATTCGTTTAATAGACTCAGCGTTGAAGATGGCAGAGACCTCGGTCCTTGGCCAAAAGGTGACTATTGGAAGACTCGCTAATCTCCTCAGTTAATGAACTAGCTCCCTAAGAAATTAAATAATTATGTGTGTTGTCATACACATGTATAGTGCTTTTTAAGGTAGAAAGAAAATACAATTAAGACACTTAAAAATGTTATTCTAATAGGTGCTTATGAACCTCGCAGAAGAAAATTTAAAAATTTTTAGTAATTTTTTTATCATTTATAAGATTAATTGTCTTTAAAAATTGATAAATAAAAGCCAAACCTACATGTCTTAATCTATAAAAATATAA